CAGCACATGATTTTGCCGCCATCTTGGATTTTCACGAAAAATTGCACAAACTTGGATCAGTCATGTGGTTTGCCGACCATCTCAAATTTTTGGCAAAGATAATGCTCATCAGTCATGTGTTATGTCTGCCATCTTATGTCTGATTTCTGAAAAAAATTACCTAAATTGAAGCATTTGTGTTTCATTAATGCTTCAACTGATCAACTTATTTTGCATGTAGTGTATAATGACCAAAACATCTGAGAGAAAAAAAAACATAATTATATATACATGTATATATATATCAGTGGGTACATATAATAAAGGCATATTCTACTGCCAACCTTCAAAGCTGCTCTGCCTTGATGAGTTAGTTTATTCACCTATAAATATTATTGGATCTGGGTATATATGAGACATACAAGTCATGTATACTAGTATTATCAAGGTGAAGAAGAAATAAACTTGAGTATACTGAAGTGTATACTTAAGGTCAGCTGAAGCTCAAATCAAGTGCAGTAGAGTTTATATTTTCATTGGTGTCATAACAAAATTACAGAACTGAGACTAGGGAATTCTCAGAGGATGAACCAGTAGTTGATACACCAGCAGAGAAGGTTGTCATGGCTACAGTAAAGAAATCTAAAACTCCACCACCTGTGCCTCAAAAACCCCATACTAAGAAACTGACAACGGATGGATCACCAGCGGTCAATTCAGCGAGATGGGAACCAGTTAGAAGTTTGGAATTACTAAGAGAACCAAACAAGAGTCTTGGAATCAGCATTGTTGGAGGTAAGAGGCTTTACTTTCTATACTCTGCTCTAGTTGGCCTATATTTCAGCGCATTTGGGTAAACATTCATTTTTATTAGCTGCTTGTTTCGAGTGCCATTGTGGTGCTTCATAGCTTCATGTGGTTGTTACTGCAGTAGTATTTACAGTGTCCTCACATGGTAATATAAGTTATGTTTCCAAGTTTGAAATAAGATAGACTGTCTGATGAATAAATTGACCTTGACTATTATGATAAATCTAAAGGAAGGTGTGTGTTATTGCCATTTCAGTCAAAAAATAATATTAAAAAATGTCTGAAATATTGTTTGTCTTATTGAGCTGGCAAAAAATGATTCAATTTATAATTTTGTTATGTGATTGCTCTGTTAGATTCTGCATATATAAGACAAAAAAATAATTTTAGAATCGTGGCAAATGATAACTACATAGGCAGTCATTTGCATATAAATATAAACCTAAATACTTATAAGTTTAATGATTTATAGATATTACATTGAGAGAAAATAATATGTGCAATATGATGATTCCAGTACAATTTGTATATATATATAATGTTTTCCTGATTATATTATTGTGTATTAATTTTCTACCTGTAAATGGCAGGGAAAAATGTCATTGAGTTTACAGTGTTTGACATAGTAATGCAATAATTGCTGGCCATAAAATGAATTAAACTTTCACCTGTGATTTGAAATTCAATATCAATATCGATCTTGAAATGGGATCATATGCAAATATTGCGTGTCGTGATCAATAAACTCATAAATGTCAGAATATGATTAAAAAAAACCTGAAAGATTAATGATTGATTGTATAGAAGCCGGTTTATCTATAAATCGTATTCACTCAATTAACCTTGTTGTAAAAACTGGGTTATTTTATACTCCTTGGTTTTGGCGAGCTGAGTACGTACTCCATGTACAGAATTTAAAGTAGCCGTGTTATTTGTTATTCATTCGTTCAGCTATGCTACATTAACTGAGCGATTCAGTTGATAAATGTACAGTACATTCTATGATATTACGTTTGATCGTATGCTTTCAGGATTCAAATGGCACAATGCCATGTAACCCACAGAATTAACAAATTCTTGTGACCTTTATATACTTACACATGTTCATTCAGAATCGGTCTATAGTCTTTATGTTTACAGTGACAACAGACATCTTCATTACATGCCTTTCTTTGGCAAATTTGTACCATGATGTAGATTGCAAACATACATCTTTCTAATTCTGTAAAGCTTATGTTTTGACTGGTGCATCTTCTATGACTTTGTCAAGGACGACTGTGTTACGAGAGTAAAATTTACTGTATCAAACATGCATTATTATACTAAAAATAAAATACTACATTTGGAATTATGTCATTTGTGCCCTCACACGAGAAAATTTGCCTTCCCAATGTTGAGTGAAACATTGTACCCTGCGCTAGGTGTATTAAACCTTCGTAGTCGATCATTGATTTATTTGATATTTTTAAATTTGGTATCTTTAAGTAAATTTACTTTTTGAATGATACAATTAAGGCTTGTAATTAGCAATGGCTAACTGAGGTAAACTACTCAAAATACCTGAATTTGTCAATAGTTTTACTACAGTTATATATAAAGGAGAAAGTTTAATATTTCTTCTATTTTTTCTTAAATTTCTGACAAAAGCCTTCCAAAAAAACTGATGTGCCTAATGCCCAAGCACATTAGCTCAAAGGCTTATATTCCTATTCCTAGAGGGCAGTGTTGGAGCTGCATGTGTGTTCAGCATGGTTTCATCTGACATATTTTTGCAATTGGTCAAATTATTCATAAATCTTATTTGTTAGTGCTTAACATATTTGCTCTATTACTGGTAGAACATCTGCAATATATAAAAGCTCATATGAATCTTGTATACTGATTCTTTAAAGTTTTACTTATTACTTTATGACCATAGAAACATATTTAAGCACTTATACTAATAGTCTAAGAACAAATATGGTTTTTGAGAACAAGTCTAGTACTGGATGGATTGCTGGCTAATGGAGCAAATATATTGGGTGTTAATTGGTCTGCTACAATTATAACATTCATATTTAGATTTTTAATCAAATTTTAATCAAATTATGGTGATTCTAACGAGCAGTAAGAATTCAATAGATTTGACATTGACCTCTATTCACAATTTCACAATCTGTCACATAAAACTATTCATGAGCAAGGTTAAGATTATAACTAACCCATTCATTGGTTGCCTTGACAACCTGTATAATTACACTTCATCAACTGAATTTCATGTTTCAAAACAAAAATTGGCAAGTTATTTTATGGATTTGGTTATTTATTGATAAGCATAGTGGATGGTTTATGTTTTGTAGGTCGTGTTGGAGAGGGCCATATTGCCCAAGGTATCTTCATAAAGCATGTATTGGAGGATAGCCCAGCGGGTAAGAATGGTACTCTGAAGACTGGGGATCGAATACTAGAGGTAATGTTATCGTTTTACCGTCCATGCAACACAGTCTCAAACATGGTCGTGGTTAGATTGTACCAATAGACCTTTTGCAGGTATTTAGTCTTCATTCGACTGAAGTTTGAAATGGGGATGTATAATTCAGTCTCCATCAGTTCGTCCGTCTGTCCGAAGTCATATTTCAGACCCCTGTGGACCAAATCTGTTCATTCTTTGTATGTACCTAGTACTTTATCTAGGACATATGCATATGCAGTGGTTCACTGATTCAATCCAAGATGGCTGACTGGCAGCCATCTTGTTTTTCGAAAGTGTGGTATCCTATGCATGCATTGTTATTTTTTGTTCAAATTTAGTACATACATTATATATGTTAGGATACATGTCTATTATGATTTTGGTGCAAAAGAATCATGAATAGCTTATCCTGTTTAATTTCTGACTATATATCTTGATTTTGGAAGAGTCATTTATTACTGTCTAGTATCTGTTGATACTAACCCAGCCAATTGCTCACTCAAAATTACTAACTATGCTTTTAGTCCATATTACTTTATTTTTGGCTTGAATAACATTTCTCCTAATTCCAACGGGGACTATGTCATTGGCAATGACTTGTTTGTTCAAATACGTAATAATTATCCACCATTTTGTCATCCTTGATTGTTGTTATGAAACACCTAAAAAGTACGCATTTGGTATAACACCAAGTGTTTAACATTTTACTTACAGTACTGTAAACTTCTCAGAGTGTGATGACGCTTCGTACAATTCAGGCAAACGATAACAGTGTACATGATGAATAAACTAAATAACCCTGCAGCGTCACTGGCATAATCTAAAAATATATCATGCACACTTGAAACCTGCAAATCGTCTATGTTCAAACTTTGTGTGAATCTGCATGCTAGTGGAATGACTGAAAATACAGACAATTGTTTTTTTGCATATTTCTAAAATGTTCAGTGAACACTTTACTGGATACAAGGATTCACAGACAAGTTTTGAGTTCTGCTGTTACCTTTGAAACTTGTGTGCACTTTCGTCTGGGGTTGATTTTGCTCATCAGAATGCCAGAAACTATGGAAACCGGCAAATGAATTGCGCAAGCTAAAAATCAACCCATCATTCTTGCGCAGAAACTGACTGATGACGCTCTAATTCAAAACTTTGGAATAGAGCAAAAAATGGTTTTGCTTCTCGTCCTAGAAAAAAATTACATGATTTAAATTTATTATTAGATATGTAGGATTTTATTTTTATTGAATTATCCCCCATTTTACTAAATACAGCACTCTTTTTAGGCGCTGGTTTCAAACAGATGGTCACGATGATATGCAAACACCATTTTTTGGGGGGGGACTTGAATATGAAATTAATATATTTATTTAGTGCAGAATCATTTTGAAGTGTGCATAATGTGCTATTCTGCAAGCAAGTTAATAAAAACATTTAATTTATATTTTGACATGAATGCTGATTAATTTTACTGCAGTGAAATTAGGAAATTTAATTTCCATCCGTTTCAATATCAGTTTGTGTAACCTTAGTATCAACTAGAAGCATAAAATTCTATAACACACTAATGAGAGCTGTTAATATCTTTGTTACAATTATAATGAGAGTAATTAATGATTGGTATTTATTACATGTGTGTTGTTCTGCATACCAGAGGGCATAGTTACAGCAATCAGCTATTAATTTTCCACCTGGTTGAACTAAATCATCTTTATCTTGTGTATTGTGAATTAGAGAGTTTCTTTTGAGATAACTTCATGTAAACAATCTAATACTTCAGAACATGTTTGATTTATGATGTGCTACTGAAAGACCGTGATTTAACTGAATTTCTTCAGATTATAGGGGTTATGCACTTAAAGGTCTCACATCCTAGTAATCTCTGGTGGTACAAAGGATGTGTCAATGATAATTTCTTAAATATTCCCAATTGCCATTAAAATATGGCAAGAATTGATTTATTATATTAGAATTAGTCGCTGGTATTGAGCGACACTACCCCAGAAAAATTTCACAATAATGATCATTGTTAAACTTTTGAATGCCAACTTTTGTCACCTTTCACATAATAGTTCTATGCTCAGTCTGTGCATACTAATTAGGCAATTTGCATTCTAATTAGGCAATTTGCATATCATTTATGCTTTGAGTTTACTTTCATCATTAGGTCTATATATAGTTCTATGCATACAAATTAGGTAATTTGAATATTATTAATCTTAATGTGTCAAAGTTACCTTTGTCACCATCACAAAATTAAACCTTCATAATTGTTGCATTAACAATGTTATCAATTCATGTAGGCAGTGAGTATTTATGTTCATTTGGTCGAAAATTACCAACGAAATTATAG